TGCTACTAATATTGATACTAATACTGATACTGATATTGATACTGATACTCATACTCATACTAATACTAATACTAATACTAATACTAATACTAATACTAATACTAATACTAATACTAATACTAATATAACTAATACTAATACTAATATTGATACTGATATTGATATTGATATTGATATTGATATTGATATTGATATTGATATTAATACTTATACTGATAGTGATATTGATATTGATACTATTGATGATACTGCTACTGATATTATACTGATACTTATACTGATATTAATACTGATACTTATACTGATATTAATACTGATACGAATACTGATACTGATATTTATACCCATACTTATACGCGTACTCATACTCATACTCATATTCATACTCATACTCATACTCATACTCATACTCATGCATACTCATACTCATAGTGATATTGATACTGTTATTAATACTGATACTAATATTGATATTGATATTGATATTAATACTAATACTAATACTAATACTAATACTAATACTAATACTAATACTAATACTAATACTAATACTAATACTAATACTAATACTAATACTAATACTAATACTAATACTAATACTAATACTAATACTATTACTAATACTAATACTAATACTAATACTAATACTAATACTAATACTAATACTAATACTAATAATAATATTAATACTAATACTAATATTAATACTAATACTACTACTAATACTAATATTAATACTCATACTCATAGAGATCTTCCTCAAATTTCAGTTTGCAATCTCAACAAATCCGTAATCGAGACCTACTTCATAAATATCAATCTCGTAATATTGTACGTCGATTTATTTTCATTGGAATATCAAACCATTTTGTGTTAGGGAAAGAGATAATTTCTCTAAAATGTTTTTACTGATCCAGAGAATACACACACATAATGTCCTCGTTGGATTGACAACATCGATTTTCACATATGTATATTTTACTATATATTTCACACATTATTTTTAATGTGTTTTTTTCCTTCCCCGATCAATGTTGAATGCTATATAATTTATATATTTCTCTAGTTAGTATAGGTTTTTCTGCAAAAACATTACTTCTAAATCCTAATATGCTTGCATAAATAATTATTCCTATTTCAAAACATACAAAATCAGATATTGTTCTCAATACATCTAGGGCCAATGTTTCTAATATATCATAATATTGGAATTACACAAATACATCTAGGGTGAATCTAATATCATATAGGTACATAAAGATTCAAAAGATTAACAGCAAAAAAAAAATTATGAACGTACAAACTAATAATATTTTACATAAATATTAAAAAATGATAAAAATAAAAGAATTATTACGATACGTACAAATTAATATTGTAACATAAAAATATAAACACTAAAGAAGATTTATTTAAATATATTCAGCAAATTATATAAGAATCTCTATTACAAATAACGAAATACATACATGAGTTACTTTAGTATTTTTTTATTACATTATCACCTTCATTAAACTCAACTTCTTCATCGAAACTAAACTTACAATTATTGAATGTATAATCAAAGATGGAAAACCAGAAGTAAAAGTTTTTAAAACCCATCCATATAATATATCTAAATCATATATTTGTATTCTACGCAACGCCACAATGCTTCTCCCTTGCGGACGTCGCCGCATATAGCACACACGATGTTATCCATGGATCTGAAAATTAAAAGGAAAGCAAAACAATGATTTGTTAGATTATTATACATACGCATACATAATAAACGTATAACGTAATAAACACTTGGCGATAAATAAAATGCTTCAAAGCGAGCATGCACATCGCACAATACTGATCGCATTATGAAATTACAAAACATAAATATGAAGAAAAAAAAGTTTTAAGGTGAGGACCTTGGTTTAGCATGATCATAACAAAACGTGTTGAGAAAGAATGAGATAAATGATCAGTTTGTGTTGATGGTCTTTATACTTCATTTTCACATACTAAATAAGTTAATAAAATAACTTTAAGCAAACAATATATTTTATTATTTTTTGTGTTACTCGGTTAGAACAAATCAAACAAATTCAAACAATTAGAATTAATAAGAATCCGAAATTATTGAGATGCATAATATAAATGCGATTGTTAGGGGTTACTAAAAAAATTATTCAAATCACATGTATTGATTTGATAATAACATTAAATAGTAATGAATTAATCAGAATCAGAAATAACATAACCAAGGAAACATAACAAAAGTAACCAATTTTAATATAACATGGCTTTTAAAATATTACCACTTTTACGTGTTTATTAGGTATAAAATATTATGCTCATAATTTATTTAGCATAATACACACATTGATTTGATACAATAATAAATAGAAACCTAAATAATATCAATTTGTATATAACAAAGACAAACATAACAAAAAATAAATAAACAAATAAAATCAGTGATCAATCATATCCTTAAAATTCATACTTTAAATAAGAATATCAAACAAATGAAATCAAGTCATTAATCTTATCCTTAAAATCAATACTTTTAATAAGAATATCAAACAAATCAAGTCAAATTATTATTTCATGCTAATGTAAGACATTATTTTTTTTCTTCTCTAAAGTATAAGTTGATATGCAAAATAATCATTACAAATACTTATGTTACAACATTATCGAAAATACAAAAAAAAATCATAATGAAAAATGCTAGGAAAATTAAATAAATAAAGTAATTTATATAATAAAAAATTAAAATAATTAATTCGTAATAAATGTAATAAAAATAAAAATCTAGTTAATAATGCGTTTTATTACTTCATTAAATATTTAATGGAATAATATTGAAATATGTTACTTATATATACCATTTATTAAATTATTTATGACAATTTAAATATATTTCATTCCATTAATTGACATATTACTATTCAATTAATATATTATAATTTCCTAAGATTGAGTATATAAAAAGGACAACTCGATACAATATTTTATTCCATTAATTGACATATTACCATTCCATTAATATAATAATGCATTAATAAACTAAATTAATGTACAATTATAAAACAATATAATTACTATATAATGAATTAGTGATAATATATTAGCACTCAACATTTCAATGTAGTTAAGTGAAACAAATCAAGAAAAAAAGACGAAAACAATAAGTTTCCAAAAACAAAAACGACAGATGATCCAACTTTACACGAATTAAAAAATGAAATATATAAAATTTTAAATAGCGAAATTGCATATATAACCATATACTAAATGAGCTTGATGAAACAATATTAAAAATAATTACAGACATATATAAAGAATAGAAAATTGATAATTGCATATAATGTTTTACATTTATCACTTCGATGACGGTCTTTTAAGGATTGAAAAAAATGAGTATTTTTTCTCGCACAATTCATATGAGATTCACGAAATTCTTTCTATTCCTTTGACGCAACCAATGTCGTCACACATAGCCCATATGTCGATATTATCCATAATATCTACAAAAATAACATAAACAAACAACAAATAACATGTTAGACTAAATACATGTATATGTGTAAATAACCATTAGACACATACATTATATCAAAATAATGAAATAAAGAACATGTAAAACTATGAATATATTAACAACAACAAAATACAATATTTCCTCTTTGCAGCCATTTCGGGCTGACCTATTTTTTTTTATTTTTATGCGAGTGTAAAATTCGGGTGGAGAGTATGAGTGAGTGAAATGGATTGGAATGAGGGGTATTTATACTTGAATTTTATATAATAAAAAAATAAATAGTAAGTTCTTATGGAAATACACATTTAATGTTATAATCTTACCAATTATTTGATTAGATATTTTCCATGAATTAACCATATGAATCTTACCAATTATTTGATTAGATATTTTCCATGAATTAACCATATGAATCAAAACCAATCAACTTAAATAGGTAAGAAATCAAATTATATGACATAAAATTGGGGAATAATTGATAATTTATAGTAAAAAAATATTTGAAATTCAAAATTTGGAATACAAAAATTTTAATTTCAAATTTTAAATGTTGTTTAGTTATTAATATTTATAAAATTAAATTAATACATATACATTAAGTTGGCAAAATATTTAAACAAAAAAAATCCATGTATAGTGATTAATAATTATTAATGATTTGTAAAAATAATAATTATTAGTATTATTATTATTATTATTTTCGAATATTATTATTAAAAAAACTAAATTCCAAAATATATATCATAAAAAATGAGTGTTCTATTTAAAAAAAAAAAGACATTCGAAAAATATATTTCGGAGAATTAAATTAAAAATGTGAGATAAAAACAATTAATCAACCGTGTATAGATAATTAAATATAATAATAATTATTTCGCTATAAAAAAATAGTGTGTAAAATATGATATAAAAAATCGAATATTCGTTAAAAATTGAGTGTTCTGAATTTAAAAAAAAAAAAGAATAGACGAAAAATATAGTTCAAAAAATTAAAACTATAAAAAATATAATATTTTTAGAAATGATAGGAAATTAAATTCCTGAAATATTATATGTAAATATGTGGTAATTATTAAATGATTGTGTAAATGTGAAATAGGAAAGAACTTAAAGACATACCTAAATAAAAATGACACATAATCAATTGAAGAATCCACCTCATCAATTGAACTCCAACTAAGCAATTTTGACAAATGACATCATCATTTGGCACATGTCAATCATTGAGGGCATAGATTCTCTTTTTATATTATATATAGATAATAATAGACAGCCAGTTAAGATCATACTCCCATTTTTTAATACGATTCTGAGGTCAGATAAACGTGGCGTAAACTAGATACGTGGGCCCGACATGGCATCCCCCATTTTGATTGCCACAAAACGTCGTCGTTTTGTGCTGCCATCATGTACAATGTATCGCCTTCAAAATACTCTCTCTCTATTTATGGTGATTGCCTCTCAAATTGTCTCCCACTCCACCTGCTCCTCTCTCTCTCTCTCCTCTCTTTCTCTCTCTTCCCCTTTCTCACATTCACCACAAATTTCACTCGATCGGCCAACTCATTTTCAGGAATTTTTTCTTTCTTTCCTTCTTTCTTCATTCAGCGGAAAAACGAAGACCCTTTTGGACTCGTACTGCAAAAAATTGTCGAAAAGGCGGAGCTTTTTAAAAAAAAAATTATTTTTTGTTGTTGTGGGAATAATTTGCCCTAAAAGTTAGGATCTTGGATATTCCCCCTTTTTAAATGGCGGGAAATCTAGAGAGATGGAAGGCTTTCGGGCCATTTTTCACAGTTGTGTGGAGCTTTCTGCTGGCATCGATCTTCGTATCTGCAGAGAGAAGCTTGAAGAAGGAATATTCGTCGCGGATCGCGATCGAAACTCGCGATTCAGATTCCGATATCTTAACATCTGTTGTCAATTTCCTCTGGCAGGGAAATAACTCGGGTTACCACCACGTTTGGCCGGTGAGTTTGATCCGACTCTAAATCATCATCAACAACTTTTATTTTTATTTTTATTATTTTTGTATTTTATTTTTTTGGATTATGAATTATCTATTGCTATTATTGGAGGGTTGTTGTGTTGGTTAATGGACCTAGTCAATGATTTGTTTACTAGTAGATGAAATTGATCTAGTTCCATTTTACAATGTTGAGTGATCATAAATCATAATTCATAGGATGTATAAATGCATTTTACATTTGAAAAAAACTCTACGGTGATATATATGCTAATGCTATGTTCGTCGTATTATACAAAAAAATTGAGAAATTAATATGGAGAAAAAAAAAGGCATATAACTGATTACTGGAATCGGTATTCGGTACGCACACCCATGTCGATTGCGTTTACATGTAAAAATCTATGATGATATGCTATGCTCGTCGTATTACACGAAAAATCGAGAAATTAATATGGAAAAAAACGCATATAACTGATTACTGGAATCGGTACGCACACCCATGTTGATCACGTCACATAAACTTCTTGTATTCGATTTCTATATTTGCAATGTTAAAATATGCAGAGTGAGTCATTCGTTTTTAATGGTATTATTTATTGATCTCTATAGGATCTGAAATTCAACTGGAAAATAGTTGTCGGTAGCATAATTGGATTCCTCGGAGCAGCCTTTGGGAGTGTAGGTGGTGTCGGCGGTGGCGGCATATTCGTGCCTATGCTCACTCTTATTATTGGATTCGATCCAAAGTCAGCAACTGCAATCTCTAAATGTAAGAAAAAAAATGTATTCTTTATATAAATCGAAAACCAATGTTTAATCAAACAAGCTCTTTTGTTCTTGATTTTTTGAGCTTTGAATCGATTATTAAACTATCGACGAGTTTTCTTTCTTGACTGTTTAGAATGTTCAAAGATTTGATTTTTAATTATTTTTTTTATCATTCGTAAGGCAATTAAAAAATGCGTTCTTTTTTACAGGTATGATTATGGGGGGTGCAGTGTCGACAGTTTACTACAATCTTAAACTCAGACATCCCACAATTGACATGCCTATTATCGATTACGACTTGGCTGTTCTTATCCAACCAATGCTTATGCTAGGAATTAGTATCGGTGTTGCTTTCAATGTGGTGTTTGCAGATTGGATGGTCACCGTTCTTCTAATCATTCTCTTTTTAGGTGAAAATGTTGGTTAAGCGCAATTTATTACTGAATTTTTTTTTCTTTTTTTTCGTTGCCCAATTCAACGTAGATTGAATTAGTATGATGGTTTGTTGCAGGTACATCAACTAAGGCATTCTTTAAAGGGCTCGAAACTTGGAAGAAAGAAACTATCATGAAAAAGGTATTAAAAAAATATATATAAAAATTTTCTTGTTTCTTGATAATTGGTCTACGTTCGATGTGAACTTTTGTTACTATATATATGACCCTGACTAAACAATGCAATATTTCGGTGATTTTTGACATGCTTTCGATATATTTGCCTTGTTACAGGAAGCTGCGAAGCGATACGAAGCAAATGGTGAGTGGATTAAAAGAAACCATTTTTCTTAACACATTCACTTTTTTTTTTTTTTTTTTAACATCCTCTTGTTATTGAAGCACGTTTTTCTCGTGTGTATTGTAAGGTGACGGTAAAGAAGAAGCATACAAGCTTCTCCCCGGTGGGCCCAGTAACAATGCAGGAAAAGAGTTTAAAGACTTTGAAGAACCAACTGTAAGAAATCTCTTTGAACTAGTTTTAACTTCCGCGAAAAAAAATATAAAAAAAATCCCACCCTTTTTGTTTTTACAATAAATATTCCGCTTACTTCAGGTCGGAATTATCGAGAATGTTTGTTGGAAGGAGTGCGGGCTTCTCTTTTTCGTGTGGTTCTCATTTCTCGCACTGCAGATCCTGAAGGTTTTTTTGTCTTTCAATTTTATTTTTTTAATTTTCTTTTTAATCCTACATACTCGACAATTCTCCGAAATCATTGGAACTGTAGCATTTACCTTTTATTTTTATTTTTTGAATTGGAACAGATGTATACAACTACTTGTTCGGTTACCTACTGGACAGTTAACTTGCTTCAGGTATTTCTGCTCTTTCAAACGCTTATTTTTCAGTTATCATATAATCTTTAAATCTTATAACGGAAAAATTCTCCGTTTTTTATTTATTTTTTAATATTTTAATATTCAGATTCCAGTATCAATGGGAGTATCTGGTTACGAAGCACTTAGTCTATACAAGGGATGGAGAAAACTTGGATCAAAGGGAGACGAAGGTACAAACTTTAAAGTACACCAGCTCCTCGTTTACGGCTTCTTCGGAATTCTTGCCGGTTTGGTAGGCGGCCTTCTTGGTCTTGGTGGTGGTTTTATCATGGGCCCACTCTTTCTCGAATTAGGCATTCCTCCTCAGGTCACTTCCTTCTCTATTTAAACCCGAATTTTTTTTTATTTTTTATTTATTTTTTATTTTTGGTTTTTGGAAACAAGAAGAAAATGCGGAAAAAGATTAAATTTTTATGCACACACAAATGTTTCAAATGATGAATAGTCATATGAATATTCTTTGAAAGTCAAGAAAAAAATTGGTACTAATTGCTTCTTGCGTTTTTTTTCTTTTATAAATTAAGATGTGTGGTTATAAATTATAAATGTGAATTTTAAAATTGTCGTCAGGTTTCAAGTGCGACGGCCACCTTTGCCATGATGTTCTCTTCATCCATGTCGGTGGTTGAATATTACCTTCTAAAACGATTTCCCGTCCCTTATGGTTAGTACCTCTTTTTAACGTATATATACACACAAATATATACATATATATATAGAGAGCGTGAGAAATGGTATTTCGAAATTGAAATTAAATTTGTGCAATATAAATTTCCGACAGCTCTGTACTTTGTTGCTGTTGCAACTGTGGCTGCTTTCATCGGACAACATTTTGTAAGAAAGTTGATCATCATACTCGGGAGGGCGTCCATAATTATCTTCATTCTTGCATCCACAATATTTATCAGTGCAATTTCCCTAGGTCAGTATCGAAAACTATATAAATCTTGATTTTTTTTTATGATAATTTATTTATTCTTTTATTGGGTTAATAAAAACAGGTGGGGTTGGCATTTCGAATATGATCGGAAAGATTGAACGAAACGAGTACATGGGATTCGAGAACCTCTGCAAGTATCAAGTCTAGTTAGTATATTTGTTCGTTCCACATTTTTATAGTTCAGAAGACGATTTTGATTATTATTATTTTTTTAATTTAAAAAAAATCGAAATGTTTGAAATGGTTTGCCATTTCAATGCAGACAATTGTATTTTTGTTTTTGTAAGAGTGTGCTCCTTCTAGGTTAGCTCAAGGAGTTGCACATTGATTAAGTTGAAATTTATTCTTATGGAATGTGTGCTTCTAGAATACTTGTGAGGTAACAATTGCATAATATTTTATTTTATTTTTCTTTTTTTCCTAGTGGAAATTCAAGAAAATAGGTTGAATATATAGCAACATTTGAATTATTTATAAATAAAAAATGGATTCTCATTACTCAATTAGAAAAAGAAGATGCTCCACAAATTGGGGATAAAAAAGGCTATATTCCCTTGTAATAAAACCAATCAATTATTTCAACCTTTAGGGATAAGAATTGGATATGAATTTGTTCCCTTTTTATTTTTGTTTTTATTTTTTATTCATTAGCATATATCACGAAATCGAAATCGAACTCTGTTCACAAATGTTCTTCTTCAGTTTGACTATTACTAGTATGGGCAAATTACGGCCACCCCTGAGGTATGGTCAAATAACGAAAAAACCTCTCTTGTTTGGGTAATTACGACCACTCCCCTTCTTTTAAATATTTTTATATAAAATTTATGTAATTCGGTTATTTACCAAACCAAACTGTATATTTAGTTCGGTAAACGGCATGAAATGTTGGCGTACCATAATTTCGGGTTTACCGAATTAACATCTCTTAATTTACCTCTGGAGGAGTCTTTTTGTAAGATAATATATAGTTGAGAAGTGACTGTAATTATCCAAACATGAGGAATGTTTTGTAATCTGACCATAACTGAGGGCGGTAGCCCGTAATTTGCCCTATTAGTATTTGGTTGTCCATATTCAACTTGGTGACAACTAAGTGACTAGGCAAGGGTTAGTGGGTGCTAAATAAATTTAGTAATCAAATAAAAAATTATAGATTGCAGAATATTTTATGTTCTTTTTCCAGAAAACAAAAATGTAATCTTCAAATGTGACATGTACTCTAATATTCTATTTCTTTCGTAATTTGGCCTTTTATGTATCATAAATATAGAAAGATTTATCAAGGACTTTTTTGGCAGCTTGCATCTTGAAGATGTTCATTTATTTGCAGAATGACCCCAAAAGATTGTAATTTTAGCAAATTTCATCCTCATAATACTATTTGTTCTTGCATGAAATTAGGGGTAAAAGTGTTACATTGTTGTAGCTTTTTCTCTCAAAGCACCACACGTAATAAATTTAGGGTAAATAAGACTTACCCCCTCGTGGTTTAAATTTTATGCACATAACCCCCATTGAACTTTCAATATTACACATTATCCTCTTGTATTTTAATAAAAGTACATAAACCCCCTCGTACTTAAAAAAATTTCCTCACCCGAGCATGATTATTTACCAAGCATGAATACCATATGGAGGTTATGTGCTTATATTAAAAGTAAAAAGGGGTCATGTGCACAAAGTTCAAACAATAGGGGGGCCATGTGCTTATATTGAAAGTGCAAGGGAGTTATGTGCAATTTTAACTAAAAAAATAAATAATATTTTCTCAGTGGTCGAAGTTATATACAAAATCTCTGGCCCAAGGGCCCACCAATTTCCCAGTTAATAGGCCCAATAAGAAGTAAGTAAACGGTCCACAGCTGACTCGACCGGTTTGTACCAAAAAAACCGGTTCGAAGAAATTGACAATTGACATTATTATATTGAGAAGAAACAGAGAAGGTGCGCAAAGGAGAGGCGTTCGGAAATTTCAATTCAATTTATAACATAATTCAATCTCAATAATTCCACAGAAGATAATCGAAACCCTAGAGAGAGAAAGAAGGAAGAGAAACGAAAATGGTGTTCTACTTCAAGGCGCGACCGGAGGCCGGGGACTACACCATTTTCATGGGACTCGACAAGTATGAGAACGAGGAGCTCATCAAATACGGCTTTCCCGAAGACATTTGGTACTTTTTTTTTTTTTTTTTTTAATTTAATGGATTTTTCTTTTTCTTCTCATTTCAACTCTTTAATTCGATGGATAGATCTTGAATTTTTTTATTGGAGTTGATTTGAGCTATTTTTTTGGAGAATTGCGGTTCCCTATGTTTTTGTGCTCTAGAATGAAGAAAGTTGCAATTACGGATTAATATTTTTTTTTTCTAAATTATTATTCTGAAGAACCTCAATCGTATATAGATTTTAATGGAGAATTTCTGGTTGGGAATTTGTTGAATTTGATTTGGAAGGCACGCTGTTTGTTTAGATTAAACACGAATTAGGTTGTTTGTTTGCGTTTGGTGAAGGGAATTGCTCTTTGCCAGAGAGTAAAGTTCATTAAATAATCATATTTCATAGATGAAATATTCAATTTTGGTTGTAAGTTTAGAGTTTTATCTCCGCATTGCAAATTCAATTGAGTTGGCAATTGAATCTTTAAGAATAGCTTGGTTTGTTGAATTTCATCTATTGAGCATGACTGTTAAATGAATTTTAAGCCTGACCACGGTGATTTGCGGAGAAGTTAAATACCTAAATATACTTCTGTAAGGTTAACCCCTGTTACAACTTACGTAACAGGAATGATTTCGTGCAGGTTCCATGTGGACAAAATGTCTTCAGCCCATGTTTATCTGAGATTGCACAAGGGTCAAACCATTGATGATATATCTGAAGGGGTATTGGAAGATTGTGTCCAACTGGTTAAAGCAAATTCCATCCAAGGCAAGTGATTCGTTCGTGTTCAGTGTTTTGTTTCAATTTTTTATCGACTGTAGCTTATCTATCTAACTCTTCTCAGTTTGCTGAAGAATTTGAATGTTTTGTCGAAGCAGATGCTAATGTTTTTTTTTATAGTTACAATATGTTATTTTGATTTTATTTCTTTGATCTTGTAGGAAATAAAGTGAACAATGTCGACGTTGTTTACACCCCTTGGCAGAATCTTAAGAAGACTCCATCCATGGATGTTGGACAAGTCGGTTTCTATAGTTCAAAAATGGTGAGCTTTGTTATGTTTGTGTCTCTTCTAATCACTTTATTCGGTTTTTCCTGCACCTGGATATATTCATTTGGTTGATATTGGAGATCAAAGTTATTGTTTTTTCTTGCTTAGGTTCGTACTGTGAGAGTGGAAAAGCGAGTAAATGAGATTGTTAACCGTTTAAACAGGACAAAGGTGGAAAGAACTCCAGATCTGAAAGGTGAATATGCAGTTCTTATTTGAAAATACTAAATTTTTGGGGGCATTTCTCGTTTGGTTACCGAGTAATCATGCTTTTCCACGTTTTATTTGCTCTTCTACCACACGTCTTCTGAGTTTCAGGACTTTTTTAAGTATCATGCTTTACAGTTATCCATTCAGTATAACAGATTATGATTTGTTCTTTCATGTGTCTAGCTGAACGAGAGGCAGTTAATGCAGCTGAAAGAGCAGAGAGAAAACAGCAGCTTCGCGATAAAGTGAGTCATATAGTCTTTTCGTTTACTTTAAGTTTATATATCTAGTTGAATTTCTGTTTTGGGTTCGTCATGAATATATAGCCGACGTTTATCTCATACTTGTATACTTGTTGTCATTAGTATACGAATTAAATTTGGTATGTTATTTTAATTTCCTTTAAGAAGTAGTTGTGGTGCCCTGGTTCAATTTTAATCGGTCGGGATATGCAAAATCTAATCCAGCTTTCTCTGTTGGCTATTTTTGTATAGACCATCTTTGATTGTGGTTCTAATAACTTAAGTTAAAATATACTTCTTGCCCAATACAGCATTAGCATCATTACATTAACAAAATCAGCTTGTTAAAAATCAGATGCTCTGTGGTTTGGTTTGTTTTCGTCTTTAAAATAATCACTATTTATATAAAGAAAAATAGCAATTTTTTGACTTATCAATGTTCGTAAATGTTTTGCAGAAACGACGAGAAGATTTAGACAAACTCGAAAAGGAGAGACAGGCTGAATTAAGGAGCTACAAAAACTTGATGGTAGCTGAGAAGATGACCTCTAACAAGGACATAGCATCTGCGAACAAGTCCCTGCAAGAACTCGAGGAAGATTTCATGTGACACCCAAAAAAATTCAATAAATCTGTCAAAAGTTCACTTGTTAATCGAGAATATGTGGCTTATTTCATACGGGGAGAGACCGGAAAGAAGATCGAGAGAGAGAGAAGTTGATAGTTGGGTCGGGGCAGAGGGTGATTTTTTGTTGTATTGTGTCCTTAAGACATAACTATGCACTTATCGTTGTGAAATCAAATCATTGGTCTTAAAAAAGCTTTCAAATTGTATTAATAATAGCTCGAGAGCATAGATCTATGGTTTGAGAGCCGGCGAACGAGCTTAGCGCAATTCAATTTTCGAAATTTCTTTTTTTGAGGAATATTTCTCTATAATCTTTCCCACAAGGATATATGTATATTAATATGAATTGACATCAAATGATTAATGTTCAACATGTTAAATATAAAGAAAAACTTGGTCTGCAAAAAGTAGCAGAAAGTAATTAGTTCCACCTAATGATTGTTTGTAATTGTAATCATCAAACTTAAAAATATATATAATTAACTTGAAACTGTGCCTCAAATCTTGTTATTATTTCTTCGTGTTTGGTTTGGCAGGCAGCCGAAATATAAATCATTACAGTAACTCCCAACTTTTCGACTAAGCTGCAAAGAGAAATGATGGCAAATTGTTGGGGATATATTCTCTCTCATAAAATGAAAGATTGCTTGATATGTATACAAAGTGCATAGAAAATTCAAGGCCACTTTTCTAATTATTTTTCATAATATATATATATTTTTTTTCGTTTTTCCATACGTCGAAAAATCTCTCCAAACGGGATGTGAACACGTGTACTAATTTTCAGAAAATGTGAATATTAAAAAAAAAAAAAACAAAGTGCAAAGAAAATTCAAGGCCACTTTTCTAATTAGGCCAATTATGGCATCACAAAAGGGAGTAATAATTTTCATAACACACACACACACACATATTTATTTATATCTATACAGTGAACCTCAAAACAAGCCTATATATATATATATATAATAAACTCTGAAAACATATAATCCATCTTCTCCAGTTGTTTCTCCTACAGTAATCAAATGCCATTTACTAACTGGAAAAACACACGCAGTAAAAGTGTACGGTTAGGGCAAAACTACATGCAAACAGAGCATGAACATTCATCAAACTACAAATGGCTAATGTTTTGGAGAAGAACCAAAAGGGGAAAGAAGAACAAGAGTTCAGATAATTCGCCATTAGCCGCAATGCAGAAAACATACGATCCGCAAACGTATTTGCAGAATTTCGACGAAGGGTCGGGCAGGATCGAGCCCGATAATCTTTACAGGTCTTTCTCTGCTCGATATGCAAACCATTCCGTTCTTTTAAATCATAGGAAGGAAAATGATCGATGGATCGAACAATAAGGTCATGTTTTCGTATGTGTTTGATTTAATTTTATGCTAATCAGCCAATGTATGTTGTTTTTTGTCATTTTTTTCTTTCTTTCTGCTATATGTATAGGATTTTAAAGACTTTTATCTCATTTTCTTGAAATGGTAATTAAAAAATTCACCGGAATCAAAAAAATTATGTGAAAAATCACACGGTCGTCTGGGTAATTACGGATATTTGGGGTGTTTTTCGTAATTTAGCCTAAGTTAAGGGGTTTTTTCGTAATTTACCCAAAAAAGAGGGGAAAAAAAGTCTAGATTATCCTGCTATGAGATCATTGATTTAGTAAACTGGACTAGTCATTCAAAGCATTGGCTTTGAAATGTCAAAATCTGATCTTTGCCAGTCAAATGGATTCTAGAATGGTCAGAGAAAGTAATTACCCAAATTGTCCTTTGGATTGTATCTTCAAAGGATTTAAAATTGCCCAAATTATTTTTAAAATAGCATTTTTATAGAATGAATTTTTTTTTTGTCTATTTTGATAGTGTACATTTTTATGTTATTTATAACAAAAAATGAAAAATATTCATTGTGATATATAATATACGGATTTCTCATTTTTTTCCGGAAAGATCGAATTATTTAGACAAAAAAAAAAAAAAATTCAAGAAAAGCAATATGTTCTTGTTCGAGAAAATGCCAATATTATTCCTGCAATGCTAATCAAACATATTAAAGCAAGTATTATTCCCGATTACCAGACTCGAATTATAAATATAAAATTATATTTCTAATTAATTTTCCAAATAAATTTGAAACAAATCTTCATCATACAATGAATGTCTTTATTTCTATCATCTTGCTACGTTTCTCTTAGCAATCCGAGTAAATTTAGACTGCAGCTGGTTTTCCGGCTGCATGCTTGCAAGCAATTCCTTGTTTCGGGTTCTTCAACTCGTCTCCAGCAACGAGAAAGAATGCAGTGTGCCTAGCAGCAAAAAAGTGCCAACTTAATTTAGTATGGCCAATAGAAAAAATGCTCGTTTATTTGAAGAAAAAAAAATTAGTAGGGAAAAGAAATGTACCTAAAAAAGTTCATCATCTTGATCTTAGATTCTGAATCGATATCCGTAGTACTGTCTAATGCTAGCTGCATGTGGTGCAACCACCTCTCTGCAGCTTCATGAGTAACGGGGAATGGGCGGTGACGGCCAATCAATGCAGGATGACCTGTCAAAAGACGCGCAACAGTTTCAAGATTATATATATATATAAAAAGAGAGCAGAATATCGAACTTAATTTGCAACGTGATCCGATAAAACAAAGTTTCATTCTTCTGTAAGATGTCAAGAATAAATCATAATGAACTGCATGTTTAAGTGAGAAATTACTCGGATTTCTGAACAGAAGAAAGCCGATCAAGTTTGATTATTGACAAGGAGTCGAAAAAGCTCGGAAAGTGAACATATTTTCAATCATGTACAGTTTATCTGGATATGTTTGTGTAATAGGGTATAGTTGTTTCGTTCTGTATATGCCGTATTTCGGATATGGATTTGAGTACACTTATCTTACCGGGAAAATTAGAGTAAATTAGCATCAAATTAAAAGGAGAAAACTACATAGCAGCAGTGATACAGTTAGCACCTATAATATGTTCAATGAACACTTGAATGAAATTGAAGAAACGGCACGTAAAAAGGAGCCAAACGTACAAGACTTTAAGCCACATATATATGAGCAAATAAACGAGAGGCGTAGTTAGCTACCTCTTCTTTGGTTGTACAACGGAGGCCCTCCCATTCTCTGTGAAAAGAACTCGTATTGGTTCTGAATGGCATCTTCCTTTTTCGAATTCGCGAAAATTGATCGGAACCACTCTTCCTCATCATCATAAACTCTGATATTCATAATTCGCGTCAACAAACAAGAAATCGATAAATTACTAATCGAGTGAATCATAATCAACAGTAACACAACTCTAAACTTGACACATATTCCTCATATTTAACTGTGTGTGTGTGTGTGTGTGTGTGTGAGAGAGAGAGAGAGAGAGAGAGAGAGAGAGAGAGAGAGAGAGAGAGAGAGAGAGAGAGAGAGAGAGAGAGAGAGAGAGAGAGAGAGAGAGAGAGAGAGAGAGAGAGAGAGAGAGAGAGAGAGAGAGAGAGAGAGAGAGAGAGAGAGAGAGAGAGAGAGAGAGAGAGAGAGAGAGAGAGAGAGAGAGAGAGAGAGAGAGAGAGAATCATAATCCAATCAATTTCATTCTTCCCATTTTTCACATACAAGTACACCTCCAAATTCAAATTCGAAAAATCCCCAATAATTACGGTACCACAAAATCCAAAGAGTAATGCATTTCTCAAAACTTAATTTACTGAAATTAACAAAATATACCAATAGCATATATCAAATTTAACAAAAAAGCAGAAAAGTAAACAAAAGCCCGTGATTTTGGTTTTTTTACCTGTTGTAGAAATTGGTGGAGAGAGAAATGAAGGTCTGGAGGCCAAGCTTCTCATATAGATTGATTTGATCAATGGCGAACGCGTCGTCTCGATTCACTCCGCTCCACTCCGACGCCTTGTCTTGCAGCGACTGCATCTTTTCTTCCTTCGTTTCTCTACTTGAAGACCACTGGTTAAGGGCGTGTTTGGCTGATGCATGATTTTTTTTTCTTTTGAGGGGTATTTATAAGGCCGTGTGGTGGTCGCGTGGAACGCACGCTTTTCAGTGGAAGTAGGGACACTGGAATTTTTTTTTTCAGTTTTTTTTTTAAATGGCAAATTTTTATATCTTAATTTTGGCCCCACTATATTTTATGTGTGTATGAAGTCGAGCGGTTGGAGCCAGTAAATTTGTGTTATTTGACTCAAGTCACTCGATCAAACTTGTCACATATGATTAACTTAATATAATTGGCTGCGAATTCATCATTAAAAAAAATTTTGCCAATAGTTTTGTCAAAAACAGGAGGCTGAAAAATGGAATACTTTATTACTTTAATTTTGATTCGTTATTCATATTGTGGGAATGTGAATTTTATATTATAACATACTTTTTTATTATGTGGTTGAGATGAGCACATAATGAGGTAATAGTTAATTATTAATCATTTAAATTGCGTGCAAATTTTTTTATTTATCAAAATAAATAAATAAAAGATAAAGTTAACAATGGGCCTTGGCCCAAGATTGTAAATTTACTATTTAATTTAGACGCAAATTGTGCAATTATAAACCAAAGCTAGGCCCAAACATAAAAGCTGATGATTAATTAATTAATTAATTAATTAATTATAGCGTAATGTATAATTAGGATCAAATAATAAAGCTCATGATTAATAATTTGTTATCAGTTTTCATTTCACTGTCAAGATTAATTTCCTCTACAATCATCTCCTGAGAAGACGCATCAATTTGCAAGACGAAGCTTCGCTTAATTATTTGTCTTTTATCTTTCTTTTTGGTTGCAGAAATCAAACGCAGTCGTGAATTTGTGCAATTGTTGTTAGCAGAGATACATATATACGTATACATATACATACATTTTTGGCGGTGAAGGGGGGAGTTATGGTGGTGGAGGAGGAGGACAGAGAGCGGCAGACGCGGAAGCGGCGTCGTTTGACGTGGGATGTTGCTCCCTCGGCACAGACGGAGGTGGTTTTGCAATTTGTTTCAGTAATTTAGAGTTAGGGTTTCTCCGGAAAAAACGAATTGACAAAAAAAAAAAAAACTGATTTTCTTTTTTTTTCTTTCCAGGATGATGAAAGAGATGCTGGGGATAATGAAGATAGGGCACCTCCAGCTCCAATGCTGCGGAAACACGTCTCGCCTCCGAAGAGGAATGACGATCCCGATGGGCATTATGTGTTCAGCCTCGGCGAAAATCTAACCCCTAGATGTAATTTGATTTCTCGTTTAATTTGTGTTTTTCTCAATTGTAGTTTGTATTCTAAGCTTAGCATGCAATTGAGGTTTGTTGTTTTCGTATTGATTTTTCTTTTCGATGTCGAGGTGTTTCGTTTAATTATTTGTGATTATTTTGTTGCTTATGTTGATTCTAGTTTTTGGAGTAAGCAAGAGCTTGATTTTCTAGTTTTTAATGGCATACATTAGGTTTATTCTAGTTTTAAATTAGCTGGGGTAGTTATTGAAATCGTTTCTATATGGTTCCGGAGGTTATTAACTTGGTTGTCTTGTCATCCTGTTTGTAGAATGTATTAGGTTAATTGTGGTTCTTTTGCTTTTTGTGAAGCCATTTGTTTTGGCCGTGGTACGTTAGATGATGTTCGATCTTGTGCTTAACTTGTTTATGGCACATTTTCTTTCTTAAAACCTGAACATTTGAACATCTGTTATGCCTTTTGTTTTGACAGATAAGATACTTGGCAAGATGGGTGAAGGTTAGCGGTTCACATGCCTGCTGATAAGAAATCCTTATATTTTCCTCATTCTCTTGTATCAAATCAGCAAATTGCTAGTGCTGTAGGCACATTTGGTCGAGTATTGGAATGTTGGGATCGACAAACACGGGAATATGTGGCTATCAAAGTTATTAGAAGCATAAAGAAATATCGTGATGCTGCAAAGATCGAGGTTGACGTACTTGAGACACTTGCTAAACATGATAAAGACAATCCATAGTAAGTTGTTTATAGTTAACAAGTTTGTTTCTGATATATGCCAGTTTGTATTTCTCTAATTTATATCTCCCTTTTTGCAGTTGCGTGAAGATGCATAGTTGGTTTGATTATCGCAATCATATTTGCTTAGTAAGTATCTCTATCTGATTTCTCATAGCACCTTATATTTCCAGCTCAAATGTTAATGACTCAAGCTAGTGGTGATACATATCAGAATCAGTGGTCCCATTTTCTATTTAGTTTTTTTTTTTTTTAACTCCGAAGTTGTCTTTGCATGTGGGGACAGGGTATTAAACTTTGAATTTGTAATTATCTGTTTGGTGGCCACGGGTTTCCCTTAGCAACTCACAAACCGCATCTTCAACAAGGAAAAGGAGTATACTTGAACTTTATTTGAAATCTTTTATTATAGTTTGGTATTTGGACATATGCATGACATTCATTGAAAAAGATACTGGTTCCATTAGCATAAGTCGATTTGTCAATGTGAACTTCATTCGCGATACTCATAGCTTGACAGAAAACTCCTTTCAATGGATTTGAATGGTTTTATCAGGTCTTTGAGAAGCTTGGACCGAGTTTATTTGATTTTCTAAAGAGAAATAAGTACTCCTCTTTTCCTGTGGATCTTGTTCGAGAATTTGGGCGCCAGCTTTTGGAATCTGTAGCATGTCTGTGAATTGCTCTTGGCCTTGCTTATCTTCATACTATGTATTCATTTGATTTTCTAACCAGTTACCTACCTGGATCTTTACCAGCCTTTTAAATATGTCCAGTCACCTAGCTTTACTTCTAATGATGTCCTTTATGACTTTTTGAATCCATTTCCTATATCCAACAGATATGCATGATTTACGGTTAATCCACACCGACCTGAAGCCCGAAAATATACTTCTCGTCTCTGGTGATTTTGTGAAACTTCCAGTTTGCAAGGTATATGGCCTTATACAATTGGAGAACCATTTATTATTGGACATAGACTCAATCACATTTTTCATTTTGAGCATTGTCTTTGGTTGGTTCAGAAGATGTCAGATGAAACAAATTTCAAGTGCTTGCCAAAGTCAAGTGCAATTAAGCTGATTGATTTTGGTAGTACTGCTGATGATACTCAACGGCATAGCTCCATTGTCTCAACAAGGCATTACAGGGCACCTGAGATCATACTAGGTAATTAGTTACAGCTGTCTGTGAGATTCACATCACTTATGTTCGATTCTTGTACTTTAAATGACCTTATAGTCCAAAAACAGTACTTGATCTGCTACAATTCAAGCACAAACTGCATCAAGTGTATTTAAACATTTAATCGTTGAGGTCCTGAGGAGAGTAGGAATAATTCCTTTTGAGCGTATGTGAGACTTTGTATTGATTAGTGAACTATCACGGTCCTTAAAGATGAGATATTAGTATTCTGCTCAAGGTTGGTAAATATGGACTTGATTTTATAGCAGATATGTATATCGTATTATACTTTTGCGGTCTAGACCCATGACTATGATTCCACTATTTCACACCTTTTGTGCTACAAGATATTTCACGTGTATTAGAGTTTCTCCTTTGACTTTCTTGATTGCCCTGTTCTTTTTTCTGTTTGTTCCCTTTTAAATGAAAAATCGGGATCGGAAGTGTACTTAAGAGCTTATTCCATGGTGCCTTCAGAGATAGGTCTGACTAAGAAATGTGTCTTTTGAATCAAGATTTGGAAATAGGACTATCTGTTGAAGCAAGTTTTATTATGCAAAGAGAATCATCATTTATCCATTTTGTCTTTTATTTGTCTCAGGTTTAGGATGGTCTTATCCTTGTGATATCTGGAGCATTGGTTGCATACTTGTAGAACTTTGCACGGTTAGATTTGCTCTCTTTCAATCCACTAATCCTTCGTTTTTCCTAGCTTAGCTATTCTGCGTGCGTGTGTGTGTATTATGTTCTTATTTGTGGAGACTGTATACTTCTAGGGTGAAGCACTTTTCCAAACACATGAAAACTTGGAGCATTTGGCAATGATGGAGAGGGTGTTGGGACCTCTGCCTGAGCATATTATTCGAAGAGCAAAGTAAGTACTTTTTGCTACAAGTGTTATTGGCAGGTGTTGGTCTCCATTTCTTTTTTCGTTTTTTATTTCCTATCTGTCATTTTTCTCTGCTTTTGTATTTTCTGATTGTTTGACCGTCTAAGACCCCACTCCCGTAATACTATTTACATTCACGAGACACATGGCTCTCATCGTTAATTCATCTTTACAATGTCGAATTAACGCGGAAAAAAAGATTGAGATGGCTTTATTATTCATCGTATCTTTTGCAGCAGAGGTGCTGAAAAGTATTTCAAACGGTCACGACTCAATTGGCCAGAAGGAGCAGTTTCCAGAGATAGCATCCGTGCAGTAAGAAAGCTAGACCCGTTGAAGGTTTCAATCTCCCCCCGTTTTTTTTGCCGCTCGTTGAATCAAAATTGTTCTTTCTTTTGTTCGTTTTTAGACATTGTGATTAATACCAACCTATTACATGTTTGACTACTATTGCTATATTCAGAATCTCGTCTCGAGGCATGTCGATTCTTCAAGATCAGCCCTTTTAAACTTGCTTCATGGATTGCTAAAGTTCGATCCATCGGAACGCCTCACGCCCCGTCAAGCTCTTGAGCATCCCTTTTTTAAGGATCCATCTTAAAATCCCTTCTCACGTGTTTTTTTTTTCGATCTGTTGAGTTTTTCTTCCCTCAATGTACCTGCAATAGCAGTGTAATGTAATCTTGATTTTCTTATGATATGGATTGTGGTTGTCTTCTCTCTTTTATGACCTAATAATGTAATGAAAAATAAAATCTTTCATTTGATGTGTAAATCAATTTTGTATTAACTTCTCTCTCTCTCTCTCTCTCTCTCTCTCTCTCTCTCTCTCACAAATGTGAATTCTAAGAAAATAAAACAGAAAAGTTGCACATCATAATTTTATTTTATTTTCGTAATGAAATAAATTATTTATTAGGAACTATTGCATAAAAATCTGATATTTCTACTATTTTTTTCACATAAAAAAGTAAGTTTAATCTTCCAAAAAGGAAAGAAATAAATTTTAAAAAGAAAAAGAAAATTCCAGATAAGCCCCTAATCTTGCTTTAGTTAGCAGTTTGACCCCATTTATTTTGTGGTAATATTCGTGAAAAAGTGGTTCTTTTATTGGCTTAATTCCACTTTGCACCCTTGAAATATACCATTTTGGCACTTTGCACCCTCAAAATAAATTAATAGCACTTTGCACCCTCAAAATACAATAAATCATGCATAATGCACCCCAAATGATTTTTTAAAGCTAAAAACTATAAATTTAATATTTGTAGTGATATTTTTTTAGGATGCCAAATGTCAAATATTTTTTTTATTCATCAATCATTTTGAAACTATAAAGTTCAAAAATAAAAATACATTCCATCAACATATTTAAAAATTATATTGTTTTATCAAAATAAAATATTTTACGAAAAAAATCATTCAGGCTATTACGTTATCAAGTTATCTGAAAATTATTTTTCCTTCCAAATATTTTCACCTAATATTTTACAAACAGTGACATAAAAGATCCACAATCGAATAATTTAGTGATAAAAGATTATTTTTTTTATTTTTCTTTTGTAAGATAATGTAGTTTTTTTTTTTTAAATAATCCGGTGTAATTTTTTTTTTTTCGCACTTTGTCCGCTCGAAATTAGGTTTGAGGTTCAAGAAAACAACAATTTTTTTTTTATTTTGTACCCCAAAAAGAAAAACACCAATGAAAAATAAAATTGCCTTTATTATTCAATTGAGGGTGCATTGTGAATGATTTATTGTGTTTTGAGGGTGCAAAATGCTATTATTATTTTTTGAGGGTGCAAAGTGCCTAAATTGTATATTTCAAGGGTGCAAAGTGGAATTAAGCCTCTTTTATTTCTTCGAAATCCATTACTACGGAATCACACTGAACAGAAGAAGAGGGGGCCTCAAAACCCTAACACTAAACCCCTAATCGGAAAATACTGAATTTCAGAGGAAAGGAAATTACTACTCAATAATGGCGTTCAGGTCAAGGGAAATGATGAAGAAAATTGTGAAGAAAATCGGCGGAGAACAGAATTTAGCGCCGGGGGTAAAAGATCAGCTGAAGAAAGCGATGCCGGATAGCAGAGTCGTAATGGGCCGAGCTCAGCGCGGACTTTTCGCCGGCCGTCATATCCAGTTCGGCAATCGCGTCAGTGAAGACGGTGGCAACAAGTCTGTACATATTTTCATTTCCAATTTCTCTTTAATTTTTTTTTTTTGCTTTTGTTAATTGATCGATATTTGTATGATTTATCTGTGTTATATGTGATCTAATCTCTGGGAATGCAATGTCAATAAATGAATATCTGGTGAAAATTGAGGGAATTTGAAGTGATTTTTTTGCATTAATAGTGATTGAATGTGTTTCGATTTTAATTTGGGTTGGCTTTTCGTTTTACTTTGCCGATCCATGACAAGATTACTCCTTTTTTTTTTTTATGAAATTGCTCGTTCGACCTTTCATTTAGTTAACTCTTTGAAGCGTGTGCAGTACCGTAATTTCTACCAAGTTGTGGAGAGTGAAAATCTCCGGTGTTGAGATTGAGAAATTTTACGGAAGATTTAGTCAGGAACTGAATATGTGTTGCTTTTGATATTAATTGTTACTAATCAGCTGCTATCCTTCTGTGTTCGTTCTGCATACTTTCTTCACTTGATCGGTTTATTAACTATCAATTGATTTTGGCTTTCGTAGTATGAATGGGTTGTATAGGTCATTGTTTATTTGCGTAGTGGCACGAAGAGAACGTCGTTTTTAGTTAGAGCAAACAACCTCTAATGGCTATGAGAAGTAAACTGGTGTGGAGTATAACCGATGAATAGTCTGAGCATATCTATATATATATGTTGCATTTCTTGTCGTTTTTGACATTGATCAGATCAAGTTCTCGTCTCTATATTTGTTGCTTATTTGTCGTTTTTGTGTTTGATCTTGTTACGGGTACATAGTATACATTTCAATGTTTGTCTTTTTTCGCGACATGTCGAAATACTTATTTCATAGCTCCAGTTTGTCCTATGCTATTCATCAATCGTCCAGAAATAAGTAAAAAAAAAAGGAAAATTCCGATTTTCACGATTCTTGTTTTATTTTAGGTCGAGGAGGCACTGGAAACCGAACGTGCAGGAGAAGAGGCTTTTCAGCTACGTCTTGGACAGGCAGGTTCGAGTCAAAGTAACCACGCACGCACTGCGGTGCATAGACAAGGCGGGCGGATTCGACGAGTACTTGCTCAAGACACCGTACCATAAAATGGATACTGAAATGGGACTTTACTGGAAAACAAAGATCGAGAAAATGTACGAAGACCTCGGTGAAATGGAGGTTGTTTTCTTTTCTCCAGAGGACGAGTCCAATTTAGAGAAGCAATTCGGAGAACTCAAATTGGAGAAAAAGGCTGCACGAAGAGAAATCCGGAGGAAGATGTACGGTACCACTTCCAAACAAGACTCGATCAACGATGAGGCGGAGTTTGCGGGACCCACCGAAGGTGCTCCGAAAAGTGAAGACGATGACGAACCTCTCGTGGCCAATGCCTGATTTTTGCGTATGCTCTAATCTCGATTTTATTTTATTCTAGAAATTTACCAATTACGGTTTTGGTGGCTGATATCTGTTAAGACTATGAAAATGTATGGTGGTTCTTTTTAATTTTTTTTTTTAATGTTTTTAGTTTCTTGTACATTTATGGTTGAACTTTTTGAAACTGGAAAACTTGTATGCTGCAAGATTCTTGCAAGTGCTACTTTACATATGATTATCAGTGCCAACAACTATTTCCCCTTAATTAAGGCCTCGTTTGGTTGAGGAGATTAACCATAGTTTACTAAATGATTGGACTTTGTTTGATGTTTGTTATCCCACTAATTTATCGGATCTACTCACAAATATTATGTTACGATGGTTAATCTTGCTTTATCCTGCCTTTTAGGGAGCATTTTTGTTAGACATCCCGGGATCCGATAAAATAATTGGATATTTCATTAGATTATTTGATCTTATCTTGGCAACCGAACAAGGCCTAAGAAAACAAAAGTATCTCGGATAACACTTTCTTCATACAAATGATATGATCTTTAATTGCATTTAGAACCAAAAAAGTATTCAATAAGATAAGTCCTGCAAGGGATGATCTAGAGCAAGTCAACCTGTATCAATTGAGCCAGATTCGAATTTCGTTGCCAACGATTACTAAGTCGAGCTAGTCACGCTTGATTAGCGTAGTCTGGTTTACATCTCTCGTAAGTTTAATCGAATTTCTACCAGCTACATGCAGCTTCTTTCTTCAACCCTTTACCTTTCACCACTTCTCTCAATCTCTCACTCTCCCGCCAAAACCCATTATCAGACAACATATTCGAAATCAAAACATAGTTCACAAGATTCTCTCCATCCAATCTCAATAAAACATCTCCCACTCGTCTCCCCATTTCAACATTCTTATGCAACCTACAACCATTAAGCAAAGTTTGCCAAATTCCCACATTAGCCCTCAAAGGCATCTTCTCTATAAGCTCCTTTGCTTCTTCCAAACGCCCCACTCGACCGAGCACGTCGACCATACAGGCGTAATGCTCCACACTAGGCTTCACCCTTCGATCATCGCACAATCTCGAAAAAAAATCTAGACTTTCCTCCACAAGCCCCGAGTGGCTGCAAGCCGAAAGCACAGCCAAATATGTCACACTATCGGGCTCGATATTTTCCACTTCCATTTCCTCGAAAAGTCGAACCGCTTCTTTACCGAAACCGTTCTCGCCGTATCCTGTGATCATTACAGTGTACGAGACAACGTTTTTCGCACGCATACTGCGAAAGACTTTTCGAGCCTCCTCTGTCGAACCGCACTTGAGATACATATTCAAGATCGAATTCTCCACCGAAGTGTTCGAATTTGATGGGTTTTTTATAACGTGGGAGTGAATTTGCTTTCCCAATTCCACCATTGAAAGATCTGCAAAGGCACTAGTTATACTCGAAAGAACGAAACTATCGAGAGGAATATTGCTTCTCATGAGGTGCTTGAACAAGGTTACAACGTCTTTTAAATATCCCTTTCGAGCATAGCCTACCATTAGAGCGGTCCATGATATCAAACTTTTTCGTTCCATTTGAGTGAAAATTGCACGCGCTTCGAGTAAGCATCCGCATTGAGCATAAAAATCGACTAATGCACCAGAAAGAATCTCGTGAGTGGAAATTGAGTCTACGCCTTGTCTTATTAGAAACGCGTGGATTTGTCGTCCCCCTCGAATTGCTCCAAGAATACTACAAGCCTTTAAGCTGCTCGAGAACGTGTACTCGTCGGGGGTTTCTCCACTTTCCTGCATTTTCTTGACAAAATGCAGAGACTTTTTACACGACGTACTTTCTAGTAGGGATGCATATCCTGCTATCATCGCATTCCATGTAATGAGACTTCTAATTGGCATTTCTTCGAACACCTTTTCAGCTTCTTCGATTCTCCCGCATTTGAAGTACATATCAACGATCGAGTTTCCAACAACAGGGTACCATCTGAATCCGGTTTTACTGCACACGGCATGAATCTGTTTCCCACTTTGCAGAGCGCTTAACAACGCACACGCTTTCACATTTGTCGACAAAATATACTCATTCGGCCTCACATGCGAAAGTCCCATCTCTTTGTAGAGCAGTAATGAAGCCTTGGCATTGCCTGATTGCAGGTACGCACACATCAAACCAGACCAAGAGACGACGTTTCTCTCAGGCATTATATCAAACACGTTGTGTGCCTTTTCTTCCCTGCTGCATTTTCTGTACATTTCTATGAGGTCGTTATTTATCATTAAATCGACTTCATAACCAATTCTGAAAACCCTTCCATGTACCTGCCTTCCTTCATCGTATAACGAATTTCGCGAACATTTCCTCAAAATTTCAGCCAATGATTGTCTCCCTCTCATCGATAAAACCCAAGTTTTTGTTGCAAGAAAGATTTTTTTTTTAGATTAAATTATTCTAGTAAAAAACGCAACAGCTCATATTAATGTAGGGGCTTTAAAAAAAAAGTATTCTTTAATCCTGGGAATGGCATCAAGAATGGGGGTGTTGGCGGTACGAGGATTGGAAGATATGTTCATAGCCGTACTAAGAAAGTGCAATAAGATGGTTGAGTTGAAGAGAATACATGCCCAGATGGAGAAATTCTCACTGCTGCAAAGCAATTTCTTGGTGACGAGAATGCTGGATATTTGTGATCAAAGCGGCGAGATTCACTACGGAGCTTTGCTATTTAAGAAAGTTATCGAGCCCAATATTTTCCTGTACAACGCAATGATTAGAGCCTATACACACAACCGCATGTATGTATTAACCATCGATGTGTACAAGGAAATGCTGAAACAAGTTGCAGAGCAAATTGTTCCCGATAGATTCACGTACCCATTTGTCATTAGGTCTTGTGGGGCCCTTCTGAATGTTTGGTCGTCGAGGCAAGTCCACGGCCATGTCTGTAAATTCGGGTTGTCGGGTAATAACATGATAGAGAATTCATTGCTGGACATGTACGTGAAGTGTGACGGGATAACAGAGGCACACAACCTGTTCGATGAAATGACTGAGAGAGATGTGGTTTCTTGGAACAGTCTTATTTCTGGGCACATGAAGCTGGGTCAAGCAAGGAAAGCTAGAGCGTTATTCGAAGACATGCCGAACAAGACTATTGTTTCTTGGACTGCGATGATATCGGGGTACACTAAAATCGGGTGTTTGAGCGATGCATTGGACGTGTTCAGAAGAATGCAGATTGTTGGGATGCAGCCAGATTGGATCAGTTTGGTGGCCGTTTTGCCAGCTTGCGCGCAATTAGGAGCTCTAGAACTCGGAAAATGGATCCACTTTTATGCGGAGAAAAAGGGTTTTTTGAGAAATATCCGCGTGTGCAATGCATTGATAGAAATGTACACGAAATGCGGCAGTGTGGACCAAGCTCTGCAGCTATTTAGTAAAACGTCCGAAAAGGATGTAATAACATGGAGTACTATGATAGCTGGCTTAGCACACCACGGAAAAGCCCAAGAAGCAATCGAACTGTTTCATGAAATGGAAAAGAAAAACGTAGAGCCAAACGAGATCACATTCGTCGGCCTACTATCAGCTTGTGGGCATGCAGGTTTATCCGACGAGGGGCTTTCATATTTCGAGTCGATGCAGAATCTTTACAACATAGAACCTGGGATTGAGCATTACGGTTGTCTGGTTGATCTTCTTGGTCGAACAGGGCAGATTGATCGGGCTTTGAAGCTTATAAACGGAATGAAAATGAAGCCCGATTCGGCGATATGGGGCTCTCTATTGAGTTCTTGCAGAACTTACAGAAATCTTGAAACTGCGGTTATTGCAATGGAGCATCTCTTGGAGCTCGAACCGGAGGATACGGGGAATCTTATATTGCTGGCGAATATATATGCGGATCTTGGGAAGTGGGACGGGGTTTCGAAGATGAGGAAGTTTATTAGAAGCAAGAGCATGAAGAAGACACCTGGCTGTAGCGTGATTGAGGTTGATAGTGTGGTTCAAGAGTTTGTGTCGGGGGATTATTCGAAGACGTTCTCGAAGGATGTTTTTGTGATGTTGGATGTGTTGTCTCTGCATCAGATGGAAACGGTTGATTCTGTTGAAATTGCGCCCGAGTTGTGTGTCGAATAATTTTGCTCTTGTGAGATTCTACAGTTGTTCCTAGAATATGGAGGGAATATTTGTGTATTTATTTGGCTCTTGAAGCTGTCATTTTGCATTTATACACTCATAAATTTTGACCAATTTATTTTGTATCAGACAAGAAATTTGAAAATAAGAAAATAACGAATTTAAAAGGATAGTAGAATAATTAAAAGAAATTTGAAAATGAGGACATAAAGAATTTAAATGGGTAGAAAATGAAAAGACATTTGAAAATGAGAAAATTAAAGAATTTAAAAGGGTAGAAAATGAAAACAAATCTGAAAATGAGAAAATTAAAGAATTTAAAAGGGTGGAAAAATTAAAACAAATTTGAAAATGAAAAAATTAAAGAATTTAAAAGGGTAGAAAAAAAAAATTGAAAATGAAAAAAATAAAGAATTTAAAAGGGTAAAAAAATTAAAAATGGGTAGAAAATGAAAAGACATTTGAAAATGAGAAAATTAAAGAATTTAAAAGGGTAGAAAAATTTAAAAAAAAAATTTGAAAATGAAAAAATTAAAGAATTTAAAAGGGTAAAAAAATTAAAAACAAATTTGTCAGAAGTGGGGTTTGAACCCACGCCCTCTTACGAGGACCAGAACTTGAGTCTGGCGCCTTAGACCACTCGGCCATCCTGACTTTGATGATAATCCTGCAAATGTAATATATATTGATTACCATTAAATTTTCAACTGCTTTCTTATATGGATAGATATAGGAAAATATTTGTGCTAAACTTCTTCATCTATCTATGTATAGGCATGAAAAATGAGGGCACTACATGCTTTTTCTCATAGGTAAGATTAGTTAGGACCACTACAACTCTTCATTGCCTCCTCCCTATGAGCTCTACCTTCTTCCATTAATGGAACTGTACTAAAGTTAAAGAGTTTAGAAATAATTTTCAACTTATCACAATTTCAATTGTAGATGTAGGAAACTTAATCCTTAGCTTAGCTCATAGACCTTTCTATTCTATAAATCATAGCCGTATATAAAGCCATCAGTTGTGTTATCCTTTTTTCATCCATGAATTAACGCAATTCCGTCGGTGAAATCCCGGAAAACCATGTCCAGCCCAAAATACATTCAAAATCATTCGATGGACGATCCACCCTTACACTTCTACAGGCCTTCTAGTTTCCCAACACGGGCAGATGCATCTGGCTCGTTCGATGAAGTACCTTCCGGAATGTTCCTTGGAAGCTTCGCTGTGTGCGTGTATTCGTCTAAACCGTACGATGAGTTTTATTCATCGATGGTGGAAATGGTGATATCCAAGCTGGACCAAGATCTCACGATTGATTTGGAATACATGGAGGAGCTTCTGCTGAGTTACCTGAAACTTAACGAGAAGAAAGCGCACAAGCACATACTCAAAGCCTTTCTTGATGTGATTGAAGTTTTGAAGGTAGAGTAATTTGGTAGCACCTGTAGTGTAACTCGAAATGCTTGTTCGTTTTTTGACGAGCAAAAAAACCATTAGAAATTAGAATATCTAAATAAAACATCACGTATTGGCTTCGAAACATGTAGAACTGCTTGACAAAAGTGATGAACTTTAAACCAGAAATAGCCAGGTATTAACATATCAGTAACCCCGAGGCTGGATGAATCCTAATTAAAGCTAAAATTGCCAATAGTTAGCTATTTCAACGCTCGTCACAAAACGAGATAAGACGAGGATAACGGCTTCAAAATCTGTGCCAAAAGTATCTACTTCCACAAAAGCCTGTATGCAGCATGAAATTCTCTCATAGGGAATGATGGTTTATAAACAATTCAGGATGTGATTTTTTCATCTTCTGAATCCACAGAATCAGCAGCAGTATTTACGGGAGGCCCTTGCCGTAACCTGTTCTTTGCACCACCTATATCCATGCTTTCCGGTACAGTGTGACCTGGAATTCCAGCTAGCCTATTACTGAAGCGGGACCCTTTAGGCCTTTGGACCAACATCATGTTTTTGACTTTTACTTGTCCTGTAAGAACATCCTTATTATCATCATCTTCCTTTTCTTCGTCGTATTCTTCATCGCTGGAATCATCAGCAGCAGCATCTTTTTCGTCGTGACTATTTTTCTTGACATCACTTTCAGTGGATTCATTATCTCTTGAACTATGGTCAGAGTTGTTAGATTCATTTGAGGTAGTCTCCATCTTTTTTCCACGCTGGCTTGGTTTCTCTTTCTGTCTTGGCTCTTCACTAGTCTTCCGTTTGCTAGAGCACAAAAAAGGATACAGGTATGAAGCACAATAAATCAACTTTCGATTAAATATGACCGGCAAAAAACTTTAATATACATACTTTGCATACTGTATGGCCTCTGTAATGGCTCTGTCGTAGTCATCTGCAATATAACAAGCACCCTTAGTCAGAGAATAGGAGGGTTTACATTTTGGGATATTCATATTTTAATAGAGTTCGCTCAACTGTTGCCAGCAACATATTGATCCGCCTCATAATCATCAATCAATCAAGTTTTCTCGACTTGTCACCAAAGGTTCGAGTATAGAATTCTAGTGCTTGGCTAATCCACTATAGAATGCATATAACAGATTGCAGTGATCAGGCATAACTCCAAAAACATGTAACATATCAGTTCAAACTCTGTTACAGTTTTATGAAGTATAACAAGTTAATTATTTTGCATCAAATGTTTGGTATTAACTAAATTATCTACTACGTGTGAGATATATCAGGCATCGAGAAGGTAGCACATAGTGGTTCCTGCAGCAACTAAATAGATGCATATAATTTTAAGCCCGAAAGAAGCTATAACGATCTCGTATTATTGCAGCATCACAAAGAATTCACACAGATTTGAAGCTTAAGCAATATTTATGGGTTTAGCCTTTTGTGTGCTCAGAAGCTCGTATATAGCCTTTCAGTGTGCATGAAAGATCAACCGTATACCGTACCAAATCTATAATCAATAGTCTTGTGACCACGGCAAGATCGAGCTATTCCAGAATTTCGAAAACCTCTCAAGAGCATCTTTTGTCTTTGTTGTTGGTGCTGTTTCCTCTCTTTCTTCTATCAAAGGCAGTATATAGAAATAATCACATTAAATAAAGGCAAAGTAAGATTGAAACAAGAAATGTGGAGTTGTGGAAAGAACTGCAATTACGGACCTTCCATTCCTTTTCTAGAACAGGAATAACATCATTTTGGACAGAGTTGCTAACATCAACCTCCCATTTAAGTTCACTAGATGAATATTCGTCCTACGATCGAGAGAACATAGAGTATCAATCCAATCTGGCAGTCAGAGGAACTTAGGTAAAAGAACATGTGCACATACCACAATTTTCTTGAACTCTTCAAGATTAGTTGCGAGGGTCTCCCATTTGGAATTAATCACTGGTACTTTACCCTTAGACTTGCCTTGCTCCTTTTTGAATACGTGAATTTCTTTGTACAACCTATGACCAATAGTTTCGTTTCCATCGTACCTGTAACAAAGAAAATTGTATATAAAACCATCCTTAACTTCTTCTGCAAAAAAAAATTTCCCATAGAATTTACCAGAATGCAATTCCATTTTCATCTCCTGCAAGCTTGTCCTTGCAGAACTTAGAAACTTCAGAACAACTTTTAATTTCATCATTGATATAAGATACAGCATCATATTGCTGCAAAGGAAACAAGACATCAGAACCATGATAGGAAAAAATGAAGAACCACCATGTGAAAATTATGTAGGTCGAAATATCAGAAAATTCTGCAAGTTCATTATTAACAGGAGAAATAGGTGCACCTACAACTACAGTAAAAAGAACAAACCAAAAAAAAAAGGTTCAACAGAAATATAGCATATAAATGACTAGATATATTCATATAAAGAAGATAGATTCTGGATATATACATCGGCTCGAACTTCACAGAGAGCTTTAAGAACAAGTAAACGAGTTGTTGGTTCAAGTTCCTTATAGAGAGATATCTCCTCCCTGAAAATTTGAAAATAGAAGGTAACGAATGGAAACACGTTTAGCCATGACAAACATGACGCCAGGAATTACAAATGAATGAAAGTCAAGAAGCATATACCCTTTGGCTCCAGTTAAAGGAAATTTTCCTTCGGCGACCTGCAAAGAAAGATAAAATGGATTAGTATCACCTAATTTTCAAAATGTGTCCCCATGATTCATAAGTTTGACCTACCCAAGGCCACCACTTTGAGAGTGTCTTACTGAGAGAAATCATCCAGGCATCAGGGCCCTTTAAAATTTTGCTTTCTTGAATAATTCCCTGAAAAAAAAACACCAGCTACTTGTAAAACAGAAATATGAGAGCTATTGGAAAATCAATAAACTCGTACTATCTACGAGTGGGTTTTATGAAAAAGAAAACAGGAGAGACAATTGGCAACTCATGAACAATTTATGAATAGGATTGTATAGCTTATCACATTACATCTTAAAGTTGCTGCTATAATAATTTGTTTAGTCTTTTCCGATTTCAAATATTAAAGCGCCACTTGAGTTATTCAGCTAGTTAGCTAGTTGATTATGGAAATTTTAGATAAAATTTGATCCAAAAATGTCCAGGTCAAACTCGAAAAATATCTCTTGAATCTTCAGACATGACTAGGAAGCTCTTTAACATCATTTCAAGAAAACATTCACCTACAGCAGATAATTTTTTGGGTAAAAAAAATGCATATTAAGTATTGAAAAACAGTATCAGAAAAAGTATCGTAAATTCCCAATTTATACAGGTTCATTCAGAATAGATGCAAATGACACCTTTAAAAGCGCTATATGAAGATGAGCAAGTGTCTTGTTCTGCTCGATAAGTGAGGTTTCTACTTCTTCGGCAGATATCTTCAGATCACTCCCGATAAGCGGCTCAAATACCTATGTGTATTAATAGAACACTCAAACATCAGCACAAAATGCAGAAAAATAATGCCAATAGCAAAGTCAATGAAGCAAAGAAATATTTAATGATGGTAGCTTTGTCTTGCTAATGAGACATTATCACAAACACGTAGGTTACAATCTAGTTGTCCACCACAACAGACAAAATCTTTAAGAAAACGATGCATACGAAACAAATACATCTGTATGCAGATCAGGGAAACAATGAAAAGCTGCCGAAAAATCTAAAATGTGAGCCAAAGTAAAATCAACCGAACAAAATCACGGAAAATTAAAGGAGAGAGTGTTATTACGTGAAGAAAATTCAGAACCGAGGCTAACTCCCACCGCTGCCGGAGCTTTTCACGGAGAGGCTCGACGTCCGTCGTCCCCGTCGGCGGAAACTCCGACGTTATCATTACGTCGTCGTCATCCAGCTCATCTCCTCCAATCGCCGCCGTTCGTCGGAGAGATTCGGCCATGCTCTGAGAAAGGGCTAACTTTTCGGCAGATAAAATTTACGGTGAAATCAATTTGGGAAATGGAGAGACGCAATCGTACAACTGGGGAATTTCGAGGGTTCAATGTGAAATTTTGGCGCTTTCCCGCCTAAACTTCTCACACTGAAGTGAAATTTCTTTCTTCTTCAGATCTGTAAATGGGCCGTTTTATTGGGCCGGGTTAATAATCTCTGACCATCAAATACAGAGCCGACCCAACCCAAATTATCAAATAACTATTTTTTTTTATTAATATTTTTTTTATATAATCAGCGGTCTACATAATCGGTCCACCATAACAAGGGACTTAAATGCACATTTGTCCACACAAAAAACAGTTTTTCAAATAAAGGGACTTAAATGCACATTTGTCCACACAAAAAACAGTTTTTCAAATAAACTCATCCCGTCTCCCATCCACTATATATTTTTTTTATCAATTTCATCAATTATACTATAACTTCTATAATATTACACATTGACCTCAAATCAACCCACATTTTTTTAATTTTCTGAGAAATTTTTTTTTTTCTTTTTTCTGAATTTTTTTTTCCGGTCAAATTCCGGCATTCACTTTATTTTTTTTATTTTTTTTTAAGAAAAAAAAGTCAAAAGAATTCAAAAAAATTCCCCATTGACTGGTCAAAAAGAGAGTTAATTAACAGTTAAATTACTGTTGGAGACAGTAACATTAATTAAATTGTTTTTCTTAGTAAAACTTTTAAATCGCTCACAACACCCATTACGATTTTAGTCATTGACTGAACCTAAAAAGACAAATATACCCTTCAATAGGGGCAAAATTACAATTTTGCTAAACATGTAAACCTTAAATTAGGGGATTGAATTGCAATTTTGCCAACAAATCAATAAAACCCGTCTTCTTCTCCGACTCCTCAATTTTTATTCCTATGGTTTCTTTTGCAATTTTGTATGGTCATGATTGTTGCTTTTAGCTCTTTCGTTAACATGAATAGGTTTGGCTTCCTTATCAGGGACAAGTGAATTGGTCCCGTCTAAACTCCCGAATCTAGTAATGGTACTACTTTCGTTGAACTTGGCATACTCTCTTCGAAATTCCTCATCTTCGTTCCACCATTTCATAAACTTTTCCACCTATAAAATAATAATAATTGAGACTCAAGTTAATATATATATACTTAACCAAACCTTTTCAAAATAATATAACTTACATTATTCTTGCAGTGGGAGAGCCCCACTCGATCCGCGGATGCTACATGTAAATGGGCAGGGACTCTATTCGAGCTGCAGTCGCCGAGGAGTAACATCTGCGAGCGATTTCACTCATTCAATTAAGCTACTCACATTGCCATAATTATATAGAAATATATAAATATACATGATCGTAATTAAAAAATAGTACGAGCATTAAGAGATTACCTTGTCACGATAAGACTTTTCTATACTCTCCTTGTTAGCAATTGCCTCTTCGCAAACATGAGTTGCAACTTTGTACTGACATTGTAGTTCTTCCACTCGTTGCATGGCATCATCTTTTTTATTCAAGAATTTCATAAAACGTGCTTCAGCTTCTAAGTCACCGTCTTCGAGGATCTGAATCTCCTTCTCTAAAAACTGCGCAAACCAAATTCATTATCCGCTCTAATATGCATATGTTTTATACATTTAATGAAACAAAGTTGTAGAAAACTAATATTACGTATGTATACATACATACCTTTAAATGGTCTTCAGCGTCCTCTATTGCTTCACGCATCTCTACTTCTGTATCCAAGAGAGAAGATAATTTCTCACGACGTCGCTTCAGTTGATTGAATTGACGCGTGAATCGATGTTTATCCTCAAATTCAACACTCATCAAAGCTTCCAAGTCGCTTATCTGCAAAATTTCAACATTTTAGAAAACAAAACAATTTTTTTACTACTCCAAAAGAAAGAATGGCGTTTCCTTCCATGCATACCTTACTATCGATATGCTCGATAGATATTGAATTTTTGACTTTGTCAATAGTACTAAGAAGCTCGTCTCTTTCCTTACGTCTTGAACTCAAAATTAAACTTGCTGATACCTCAACGCCCTCGGCATAATCGTAATACGCAGCGAGAATCTCTTTATGGGACTGCAAATTTGGACAAATAACATTTGTGTTGTGTTAACAAAAAAAATAAAAATAAAATCAATTAATTGAAAAAAACAAAGACGACAGACTTACTAATTCGTCTTCAACTTGTAACTCAAGTGCATCCCTGATATTTTTCTTTTCATCAACCTGTAGCTCTTCAATTGCTAATAAGACGGATTTTTGAAGAGCACGAATATAAGTAGGTGGGATTTTAATCAAATAGGTGAATGAATTTGTGGTGGCAGCCTCAAAATTCATACTGTCTCCTCCGTAGATTTGTGTCTAGAACAAATAAAACTGCTATTTCTTTTTTCGATCAACAAAAACAATGAATTAACCAAAAAAACTACGAAATCCGAGGAGGGGTTTTCCTCGCTCGAGAAAAAAAAAACAAAAAAAAAAATTGACACAGAAGGAGAAAACAAGGAGAGAATGATAGGGAGATGGGAAAAAAAAAATCTTAATAAACAAGAAAGAGTGAAGAGTATTAGGGTTAGTTTTTATAATTTGTACTTGAATCTCAAAAAGGAAACTTAGGATTTGCAGGATTCGATCTTAAACTTAGGATTATTGGGCTGAAGATTTATTATTAGATCATTTTGCAATTACATCTTTTCTACCAACCAAACAAAAAATGTAGTAATATTTTTCTTACTTATCTTACGGAAAAAGTTGGATTTTTTGAAAATTAAGCTTATAAGCTCTTTAAAAGTTTTTGGAATTTTCTCAAGAAAATATCTTAATTTTTTTAAAAATAATAGCCCATCCCTTCAATATTTATTATAAATAATATATATGACAAAATTACCCCAACTCTTTACACTCAATACTTAACTAGTAACTCACCCATGCGATGCACGGGGATTAATTAAAAACATTAAAATGAGTTAATGTATAAAATTGACGAAGAAAAATTATGTCGAGAATGCTAAGAATACAACCGAACAAAAAAATAAAAATTCGTATCTTAATCAAGCAATAAAAATTCTGCATATAGAATAAACTGACAAAATCGAAAT